ATTGCCTCTAACTCTGTACGCACTGCATCCTTCACACCGACTGCAAATATTTCTACATCTGCATCTCTCAGCTTTACTGCAGGTTCTTTAAAAGCATCTGATGATTTTCCATCAGTAATAAGAATCATGACTCTTGGCACATTTGGTCTTGATCCTTTGCTGGTAACAAATACTTTCTCCCTCACATATGTCATCGCTTTGCCTGTGTTGGTAGATCCACCTCTGTAGGGGAAGGTGTTAATAGCCTGAATTATATCTTCCACTCTGTTGAATCTGTTCAAAGAAAACTCCATATGGGGATCTCTGCTGTACTGGACAAGACTTATCTGTACTTTGCGAGGTGATATCTCAAAGCTTTTAACTAACACTTCCAAAAAGGCTCTTACTTTAACAAAATTGGCGATACCAATGCTGTAGGAGCCATCCACTAAAAACACAACATCAGCTTTTACATCCACACCACGTGAGCATTCTGTAAAGAAAAAGAATCACCGCTGTAAACAGGTACGCAACAGCAAAGGCATTTCAACTGCACCTGCAGTTCCTGAATAATAGCCACTTACTTATAAAGTAAATAAACCACTCTACGTAAAGTTGTTCCTTAGAATCAGTAAAGGCACGATATTAAAGGAAGTGTCAGAGGTTTAAACAGGAAAAAGCTGCTGTATGAAAATAATATAGCAGTTGCTAACTCACCTACTTGAACTTTTACTTGTTGTGTTTTTTCCATTATAGTTATTGGCTCACTGGGGGTCAGTCCTTTCATTGCATAAACATTGATTTGATACTCTGTGTCTGGAGAAAGATCTTTTACATTCAGAGCAGTAGTCTGAGGCCCCACATTCAGCGCATGTTGTTTTCCACCAGCTATCATTGGAATGAACTGCACCCTATAGCCAGTTACTTGGCTTGAAGATGGATCCCAAGTGATTCTAACAGATTTTGAGGATATCTGCCCAGCCACTAGATTTGAAGGAGGCTCCACCACTGAAAGAAATCAAAATATTAAATGCAATTATAAAGATTTTCTTCCACTTTTTTATTTCTGAAAAATTTTCAGAAATAAATTTACTTAATTATTTTCTCTTTATTAAAAATCACAGATATTTTTAGCATAAGTAAACACAACTGAATTACAGAAGAGTCCAAATGGTCAGGCAGCAGGGAGATATCAGAAATATAAATAGTGCATATGTTCCCCCCACAGAGTGTCACAGAAGTTCCAGGGGAAAAGCTGCCTTGCGCTAGTACTGTTTCAAGCAGAAGTGAAAGCTACACCCACAGTAACATGGCAGACATTGTGGAGAAGTAGAGAACTGGGCAGAGCACTATGACAATGAAGTTATCCCCGCTGCCGTTTTGGGCAAGGAAGAACTAGTTACTTAGAGTCTTTCAGGGACAGAAAGCTGCAAGATACATGCTTGGCAGCTGTGTTTTCTCAGCATTCTCCACTTTTCACTCTTGATTCTTAACATCTTCTGTCCCTTCACTAAATAAATAGATTTTTCTTTTTGGTATACTTTTCCCTAGAAGTGAAGCCTATGCCCAAATTGTCAGTATTAGACCCTGATAACTGAAAATTACTGTGTTGCCCTAGGAACTGTGGAATAAGGGAGCTATTCCACATCTACTCAATGATGTCACACGTTCTGTCCTCCCACACTTAAATGTGCAATGCTGAAACTGGATTTCTACACTGGCTAAATTCGGCGACTGATTGAACTTCGGAAATAGAAAAAAGAATGCATGCGTCTGAATAAGCTGAAGTCAATAAATACATTTGCATAAAGTATCTCACCTTCTTCTCCACTAACCAATTCACCAAGCTGTTCGTCAACACCAGAGCACACTTGCAAGATAATTTCATTCTGTATATCCGTAATTCCATCAAAATTAGCCACATTGAAAACATGCTTCAGGGAAGGCTGAGATGCGATTAGCTTGAGTTCTTTTGCATCTGCTGCTTTAATTCCTAAAAGTTGCAGTAAACAGCATTGTTTTAAGTGGCCATAAAACACAGACATTCGTGATTGTATTCTTAAAGTATCAGAATACCCTGCGGTAAAGTTGAGTTGAATTCAGTTCTGTCATTGTCAATAACCAAACTAAAAAACAAAAGTTAATGCAAAGAGTTCATATACTACACCTTCAACCTAGGGACTAGTGTGGTATGTTCAATAATGCCAAGTGTCAAACTGTGTCTGCCAGTTCCTTCTTATCCTCCATGTAAGAGCTGCAAAATTACTATCAATTTAACACAACTGGTATATTCCACACAGAAGAGTGCAAAGGGCCCACTTTAAAAAATACTCAATCTGCAAAATGTGTAACTTACTGCTACAGGAATGCTAATACTTCAAGCATTAAATAAATCTCAACGTACCTAAAGAAAAAACTTCAACTCCTATGTTGCGAAGCTCTCTTGCAGGGATTTCAACTTCATCTTGAGCTTTTCCATCCGTAATGACAATTGCTACTTTGGGAAAGCCTTTTCTTGCTCCAGCAGACTCAGTAAAGGTGTTTTTAACTAGGTAATCAATAGCTTCACCTAAAAACAACAACACAAGATGTGTTTTTAGTTATGAAATAAACAGGTTTTAAATCAAATTTCAAGTATAAGATGAAATGCTGCATAAACACGAATGTGAGAAATTTGTACCTGTCATTGTATTGCCACCTTTGTAAGGTATCCTTTTAATTGCATCAATAAGATCACTTCTTCTGAAATACTGATTTAAGTTGAACTCTGTTCTTGTATCTGAACTGTACTGAACAACTCCAACTCTTGTCTTTTCCTCCCCAATGTCAAAAGCTGATACAAGGGCAACCATGAAGTCCACAATATATCTGAAGTTATTTCTTCCTACACTCCAAGAACCATCTACCAGGAAAACTAAATCTGTCACTGCACTTATGGAACATCCTGGAACACAAAAAAAATATATGTATGTTAGCAGATGAGCAATTGCCTGCTTACAAGTCTATGAGATATGTCTGACAGAAACTTAGTAAGTAAAAAACAGAACAAACAGACACTGAATAGACTGGTATTCTTTTCTGAAATATCTTACTTGGTGAAGCACTGTTCACCTAGGTAAATACCCATAGAGGCCTTTTAGCTGCCAATACGAAAAGAGAACTATCACCCAGGAAGCCAATTTTGAAACACCTCTTAATATATTCCATGAGAACTGTTATCCCACAGCAGATGACAACTCATATACATAATTTTGTGAAAGTTTGATGTTATGGGAACACTTGATTTTGCGATCACTTCTTCTGTCCATCTTTATCGCCCCATAATAGCTGCACGGGTTCTTCTGCAGTGCTTTGTATCTGCAGTGCAATGCCTGTTGTTAATAGGACAGAGACATTCACGGGGTTGCATGGGGTTGCAAAGCTTCATTACCAGCTTTGCACCTCATTCCTACAATGCAGCTACAAATTCCTTCCATTCCAGTCTCTTCTCAAGTTTTCTTAAGCCTAGATAAGTTTAAAAGTTAATAGAATTTTATTGCTCAGTAACACAGGGACAGAGTTGAACTTTGTGGGGTTTGGAGCTAGCCCTCAATTAAATCTAAAACGTCAGGTGAGGTGAAAGACAAAATATCTTACTTTGTAACTGAGTCTCAACCTTCTTTTCCTCTGGTATTCCTGGACCACCTGTCTGAACTGTACAAAGCACAATACAGACAGGATTAATGGAGAAAATGAGACTATAGATTAAATGTATTAACATCAAAGATGAAAAATGTACAAAGAATTAGGCAAACAAACCTGACAAGCCTCAGAATGTGAATACATAAATGCAAGTTATGACTACATCATCTATACTTGTAGATTTAACAACATAATACTCAAGGCAATACAAAATAAAGAAAAAGGAATAATTAAAAATAAATTCTCTGCGCTTATGTATCTCTAAGTATTTTCCTGAAAATGAATTACAATGTCCCTGGATGTACTATCAATATTACCCCTCTCTAACACATACGGAAACTCATCATAATTAATTTTCCTGTTTGAGAAGTCTGAGACAAAGTCAGAAACAAAACGTATTATTGAAGATAGTCTACTGTGATTAAATTACAATTATTAAATATGAACCACACAAATTTCAATATCATATTTTATTATACCTATATATTGTGTCGCATTATATCATCTGATAAAGTAATTAAATTTTTTCTGCACAGAAATCTGAGCTGATTAATTTTTTACTGAGATCAACTATAGCCTTTCTTTAGACTTTAGCAGAGGCAGTTCATACAAAGTAGGTTTTGTTCAAGAAAACCAGTGGCCTCCTGCAAAGAATTCTGTATGGGTTGCTAGTCTCCTCTTATCTCCCATAAATTATCTTTGCTCCTACCAGGAATTATGCTTAATGGAAAAAAAAAAAAAAAAAGCTGATTTTGCATTTATTTGATCAGCGCTTAGGTACATATCAAAATTTTGTCAGGAAACCGGAACAAAGCTAAGTTCTATGAATGACTGCTTAGTTGTGTTATTTGGTTTTCTAACTTATTGCACGTACTTACTTGTCAGTTGACCAAAAACAGGTAGACTCTCCTCTCTCTCATCATATGAAGCTATTGATACAACGTACTCTATATCAGGTATAAGATCTGATAGGACAGTTTGGGTAGTACTAGGTGAAAGAGTAAATTCTTTAGTAGGTCCATCTACAATAAACATGTAAAAAAGTTAGTGCAGTGTTTCAGTCCAGTAATATAAATGACAAGTTTCTCATAATCACAGAAAAAAGCAACAGAAAACGATCTATCTAAATACTCAATGACAACTTTAGAATGATATGATTTCCTCCTCACTAAAATATGAATTTTGAAACATTAAACTTAAAACTAAACTTGTTTTCAATAATGAACAAAATTAGTGAATTAAATGTTCAATAAATTCCAGGAAATTGAAACCCAAAATGCACATACGAAACGCACTATCCTCATACAAATCATGGTCCAATTCTGATCCAGTATCACTACTACACTGATTATTTCTCTAAGGGTAATGGAATAATGGGTGTCTAACATAACCATTATCAGAAGGCATGTGACATCACTGCTTCATTACCTAATATGCAATATTTCCCTTGGGAAAAGTACTCAAAGGAAATACAATATAATTTCCTAATTTTAAGGAAAGAGCACAGAAGAGGAGCAAAGTGATGATTCTACCTTCTTCTTGTTCCTTCCAATGGAAATGCATCCAAAACTACTTGCAGCTCCAAAGAGCAAAAGCTGATAAGAAAAACTCTTTTCCTGAAACAACCACAGTTTCCTCCTGTATGCCCTTTGCTGCTACACACACTCCATAAGAAAGCTGAGAAAGATGTTAACATCTGCTCAAACACCTAACTTAGATACAAGTAAAAATAAACATGTTTTTAAAAGATTTAATACTGTAACAGAATTTTATAGAGCTCACCATTTGTAGGGACCACCGTTATCCTGTAACCCACTATTGCATCAGGTGGCCTTTTCCATGACATTTGAACATTATGTTCATCTATAATTGTAAAATTCAAGTCTGACGGTGGATTAACTGCAAAAGATTTATACCAGGTAGATGTTTAAAAGTTTGAACAAGCTTTGGCAAATGAATAAATAAAATAATGTTGAGCAAAGCTTACTACAATTGTCTTTGCATAAATTTGTTTCCAACAAACATACAAATATGTTGTTGGAAAAGAGTAAAATAAAAGCTGATGAAATATGACAAAACATCAAAGAGTATACGCATTACAGAGGACAGCACAGAACATATGTTTCTTGAGTTGCCAAGACATTCAAGAATGGCCAGCAAAATCAAGCACAATAGAAAACACATTTGGATACATGTACAATGAGTTCACAGATAATCACCACATATGCAAACGTTTCACATAACAATTAAAGGAATTTTTGTACATGCTGGGTGCAATTCATACAAGCATGCCAAATCACAACCTGCTTACAACACCATGAGATCATTTAGAACATTGAGGACACAGTACTCTTCTTAATTAGACAGCAAAGAATTTGACAGCAAAGAAATCAGCTTTTTAAGATAGTCTCTGCATAGTCATATTTCTTATCAATTACGTTTCACTGAATCTAGAAACTTGGCAGAGAAAAATACTTTTACGGATACAGAGAATGATTGAGGATTTAATGTTCAGTAAAACAATTTCTGTTGGGGTTCAGATATGAATATACATGTAAAATGTATATTGGCAATAATGATATATTGATGTATCATTTTATTTCAAAATACTGAGAGCTCCACCCCTTCGTTCCTAGAAGCCACTGAAGTGACATACTTTGCTTATGGCTGCAAAGAGCTCAGGAATTAAGGGGTTAATACTTAGTAATGGTTGCAATTTGCTAAAATATTTGAGCCGATGCAAAAAATCACAAAAGCAAGATTCTACCTGTTTACACCAAATTGCTGTACAATTTCCAAGGTGTAAACCTCTTTCCATGTTCCCTTTGCAGCAGGTGTACCCATACTAGTAGTGGCATTTTAACATAAAATGCCAGTATGGTTCCATACAACACAATGGTTAATTACGAAAAGACAACATCAAAGTATATTTATGGACATTTATTCACAGAATTTATAGAAAACAGCAAAGAGGGCACCAGTGATCTGAACAAATGACTGCAAATAAAACTTGTAGGAGCTGATGACAGGAGTAACTGAACAGTACAGAAAGAAATAGTTTACATACGCTATTTTGCAGCATCATGCATATGTACAGAAAATGTTGATTATTATTTTTTTAGCTTCCCACGATGGACAAAAGCCTCCATGTACAAGGTTCATTGCACAAAGACGTTTCATAAATATTTTATAATGATATTCTCTTTGTAAAATTGTCATGCTTATTCATGCAGTATTTTACTGACTCACTGTCAGTGCATGGTAGGTGTATTATATATTACTGATGGGTCTACAAAGTAAGATTAGATTCAGCCATACTTTCCTTAACTACTTTAGACTGTTTTGCAGGCATTTTTTAATAGTCAGATCTTCTCTGCTTCATGGAAGATCTCCACCAAATCTCAGATATGATTGGTTGCTTTGTTTTTCAACATAATTTAAAGAGCAGATAAAGAAACAAATGCTAGAATGTGTACTTGTGATAAAACACTGTACAATTACAATAAGTCAGGTTGAGCTCAAAATAATTGAAAATAAAATAAATTGCATAGGCATTCTTTTTGCTTTTAAATTTACTGTTGTTTCCAACCATAGGATAATATGGCTTTGTAATACTGATATAACAGATACGCTAGTACTGGAGCAAATGTTATTTTTCCTACTGTCCATACACAGGCAGTGAGATTAGAACATTAACCTTCATGCACAGTTTATTCATCATTCTGTTTACTATAATCACATTGCTAGAAAAAGCAAGGTAGTTACTTAGTATCAAAATCATGCAACAGGTGTTAATAGTAAAATACATCTAGGTACTAAGAATATCATTATAAAATATTGTTTCAGTAGCAATGGCTCAGGACAAATTTAATGCAAAGGCAGAGACAACTGACCTGAGCATGCTTTAAAAAAAATTCAGTACATGGAAAAAATAGCGCCACCAACCTTGCAAGTAAATTGACCTGTTGCAGCAGAGACTTTAGGCTTTAACTGCTGTAGGACAGCAGCAGCCCAACTTGTTGATATCCAAATGACCGGATTCCAGATAAACTGAAAAACTGACTGTGAGGAAAAGTCTTTAACATTTTAAAGGATTTTAATCCATGTTATGAAAATTCAAATGTGAATCTTGGCAGTTAGAAAGAACAGTACATCGATATATAATTAATGTATCCTTTCGTCCATGCATTCGTAGCCTTATAGAACGAGAGTGATGCAGAGGACCTTAGAAGTCCCCTAGTTCATCCCATGACCAAGACAAGATCAGCCATCCCATGTCATTCCTGACATGTTTGCTCAAATCATTCTTAAAGACCTCCACTGTCGGAAAGTCCACCGCCTTCCCCTAGGATCTACTCCAATGACTCACTTCCTCTACCATCGTAAGGGTATTCCTGACGCCTAGCCTGAATCTTCATTGCTGCAGTTTAAATGCATTTGTTCTCATCCTGCGGCTTATTGAAATAAAGCACTAAATGTTTCTCCCATTGAAATCCCAAAAGGAACTTTGCCCGAGTAAAAAAAAACAGATTTGGATCCAATGTCATCAAACATCTTCTGGATGAATGCTATTCGGGTGATAAGAGATTTCTCTGGCTTATGAGCTTTTCATACTCATACAGAGCCTCATAAACATCCATGGACCAGGCTTCACCCATGTGAAACTGGCTGCAGGATCAAGATCAAACCATGGTCACACGACTGAGTATTGAGTTAATCTGAAGTACAGCAAAATATTCAGATGATAAAAATCTTATTGTGATAATCAGACAGGTAACTGTTACTCAGCCTTATTAAAATTCTTCTTCTGCAAGCGAATGAACCACTGGAAAAATAATATAGCTGCAATATGGATGCAGATCAGACTTCTAGGAACAGAACGCCCTGGTAATGATGGCAGTTTGTCCCATTAAAGGCACAAGCCTTAAAACTCTCGTTCTGCAAAGGCTTAAGTATGCGCACAGCTTTACTCAAGCAAGTAATCTTGACGGAAGGCTGCTCAAGCAAGTGAGGTTGCACATACACCTACAGTGTAGAGATAGTGTTGATCATCCTGATCCTGTGTCCACCAAAATCAATGACCAACCTCTCGTGGACTTGTCAAGGTACGGGATCACGACTATAACATGTGGTGGTATTATAGCATTAAAATAGAGGCTAGTGAGTTAAAATGCTGGGGAGAAGGCAAGAGAGGAAATGCACATTTTGCTTAGGAGTGGTGAGATAGAACAGACTTCAAACCACATTTACTTCCTTAAGTCATGGAACTTCATGCCTGGACACAGACTAAGCTAAGTCAGGCACAGAAGTCACTGATTTCACTTATGATGCACAGAAATGTATGGTTCCCCTACAAGCTTCCAGTGAAGCAGAAAAATTGTTGTATGACAATACCAGTAACCAATATTTCCATAACATTAACTTCCACCGCTTTTAGAACTATTATAATTTCCTTCATTGTATATCCTATCTCATATATCACAAAAGGAAAAAAAAAAAACAGACATAACATATTTAATTCATTGCGACTCTTTGCATTATATACTTATATAATAGCAGTATATTTTCTGAAATAAAAAATATAGAGCAAGGTATTTTTCTTATGTACATCTTATACTAGCTTGTATTACTTAACTGGTAATACAAACCTAATGCATAAAAAACTACAGCTTTTTACAGATAACACAATGTGTCTGCTTCAGGACCTCAATGAATATCTAATAAGATAGAAGAAAAAATGATCAGGAGATCAAGAAATTTTAATCTAAAATCAGACTTTAAAATGATATAATTTGGAAGTAGCTGCCATCCACAATCCCTATGTGAGACAAAATCTGTAATTCCATCACTGGGAAAAAAACGCTATAATTAGTATGTAAATTAACAGGCGAGCAGACCACAGAAGTTGAAGAATAAGCCCATTCTTGGTCTCACTGAGATAAGCCCGGCTGAGGATGAGAGATGCCAATATTCCTCATTTACTCTTTTCTTGATATATGGCATGAATTTGTGTTGACACAAGTAGCTACATCACCATCCCAGTCAAGCTCCTTCGACGTCAGTGTTGCCAGTCCGATTGAGAGAAAGAATGAGTTGCAACCCAGCAACGTAGTAATGAGGAACTTCTCAGCCTTGTTAGATATTCATTGCCAATCACAACACAAAAACATTGTTATCTGTATGCTTGCACTTTTTAAATTGTATATATGTATATACAATTTCTTCAAAATACAAGGTAACTCACATGAGTATACTTTGAAAACATTTCATTTTTAATATGTTTATCAAGGCATATGTAACAATACAATTGTATATATATATATGCACACACTGCATGCGTGAATATTTACAGAATTTTAGGCATGTTTGTGCATATATATGCATATACGTGCATATGTGTCTCTATATACACACACACAAACGCTTTGCTTCTAATTAGCAGTAGGAAAAACAGGGACTTATAAATCACCCTCATGAATACACAGATTGTACTTTCACAGTCAAATCTATAAGATTCCACTGCAAGGCAGTCAATCTCTCTTTAGGAACTTGGAAATCAACAACTGATTTCTCAAAAGACAGAGATCAGATATCAACTGGTAGTGAAATAAAGGTCCCACCAACCAGATCCAAAGTCAAATAGGTGAATAATTTGAAAAGTTTCAGCTATCCTGGATAATCTCTGAACCATTTAGTCTACGAAAATTAATGCATTCAACACATGAAAAACTTTTTACTCCTCTATAACTGCAGTGCTGCAATTATTTGTCACTTACTGTATTGCATGTCTTGAAGATAGATTTTATTTTTTCAACATGAGGCCCTGAACTACACAAAGGCCATATACCTTGCTCAGTGATGCTCTCCTTCCAGTCTAGAAAACAGACTTTTCTAGGTCCGAATCATTTCCTAAAAAGCTGAAGAGTCAGACTTTCAAACGTTCAGTGGGATCAGAAATAGAATGTGTTACTAATTAAAATGCCATGGAAAGAAATTTTAGACGCACAAAGGAAGGCCTAAAAGTCACTCAGAACCAATGTTCTCATTCCTTTTCTGGGCCTTTGGAAACCCCTCTGTATCACTAAACACAATACACTACCTAAGCCATGATACCATAACAGCACTACCTTGAGATCATAACTAACAGGTTATTCACATACCAATCTACTTGGCTTAACTATGACTAAAAAATGAAAGCATTCTTATCTGTCTGAAGGATATAGATTTCCCCTTGCTTTTTGTGATCACAGGTGGAAAACAAACTGTGACAAAAAAGAATATCCTTGACACAAAGATATACATGGAATGCAGTGGAGTATTACAGTGCTGGACTAAAGGGACAAGAAACAAACAGATCATAAGCTATAGCATCATGCACGAGAAGTTAAAGCTGCAAGTACAGAAATCAGAAAGACAGCAAAATAGAAGAAGTAGAATTCCACTGAAAACAGCAAAACGCAGAGCCTGAAAACTGAATTGGCTTCCTTGTCCAGGGTGAACGAACAACTTCCCCAGCAAAATGCCATGGAAGTATTCAGACTTTGGTTGGTTTTATGCTCCTTACTGCTACAGTAAATGTCCAAATATAAATCCTTGCATTGGATTATTTCTGTAGGAAAGCTCTGTCGCCATTACTGTAGCTCACTGTCCTTGCCAACAGCAACAGAGCACTGCTGTCATGAAGGACCACAGAGCAGCTGTGATACTGATGAAAAAATAGTTTAATTATGGAGTATTCAGGAATCTGTGAGCATCAATATCAGATCTACTCCCAGGGAGACTGAAAAATAAAGGCTGGAGGAGGGCAGAAAAACTGAAAATCTATGTTCTTCCCTCCCTTTGCGTTCACTCCACCTTCCCAGCCCACACCTACAGCCTTTATCATATCAACTGGTCCTCTCCCTTCTTTTCCTCCTCTCCCTTTTTCATCTCAGCAAGTGTCTACCTATATCTCAGGGAAACAAAATTCAAATTGCATCTCTGGTGAAAACCACATGGAGAGCCATGAAAAAAAGGGAAGAAGAAATGCACAAAAGAAGCACCAGTCATATATCTGTATTGGCGCCAGCAGCCTGACTCAGGAATGATGGGGAAAGGACTGCACCACAGCATGAGGTGAAGGTTGGAGTAACAGACTAAAGGGACAGACATCCACAGGAGAACTTCAGTTCTGTAGACAGGTTTTCAGTTGTAGTGAGACCAGAACTAAAGTAAGAAAGATCCAGCATGCAGTTTACAAAATGATGCAAAACTGAAGAACAAAGTTAAAACAGTGCAGAAGGATGACCAGTTTAGTGAGGGAAAAAAAAAAAAAAAGCCTGAAAAAGCTCTATAGAAAGCTCTATAGTTTTTGCAAGAGTAAATCCTAAGGTAATCCAAGTTTTGATGTCCTATTTTCAGCACCACTATTTCTCACTGCACGTCGTATTCCTCTTACTTCAAAACTCTTGAGCTATGAAAAATTTATTTTGGAAAGCTGACTACTGTAGATTATGTATTTTATTAAATAGAAATTTCTGAATGCGGAGTATTGTCAGGCCTATTGGCAACTGCTGTACAACTCAAAAGATCAGGCTTTACCTATTCTTTTGCTTAACAAAGGCCCACGCCTCAAAATGAGAATTAAACAAACTTAGCCAGCTTGACTGGTAATGCATCTAGCGTCATGATTATAATGCAACTGTGGGCTGCTCCAAACATATTTTCGCAGCTTTCAATAACAATACTCAAACTACTACTAATTCAGTCCATACTGCAATGGAGCAGGGCAACAGCAACACGACTAGCTCTGAATGAGATCCTTCCTAAAATGGGGAAGCGTGCACAAATACACTCACTCTCTTCTTCCCTGAAAACCATGTATTTTTTCAGCTTTCGCTAGAGCAGTGGTCCTGCATTTCAAATGCAACTCTGAAATGACTTTAAATGACCTTTCTGGTTCTTCAGCCAACAACAATGTAGCGTGAGAGGGGAGGCAGCAGGCTACTTCTCTCCTAGGGTGACCAGATGTTATACTGCTAGTGGAAATGTCATACTTTCCAAAAAGCCAATCTATTTCAAGTTTGTGTGCCCCAAGCAAGCACTGCTGCTGTGGGAGGAAATACCCCAGAGGAGTCTCTTAGATGCTGCGCTTTTAGCAGCCATGAGCCAAGGCGACCACGTCCAAATACAGAGAGGAGCCCAGCAGGCCATCATCAGAGAACTTGCTTCAATCCAATAGAGAAAGAGAAAGGAAAAACTGAATTATCAGAAACTGGCTTCTGCTTTTGCAAAAAATCTAGGCGAGTTCAACCCCAGAGGCTTGATTAACCCTAATACGGAGTCAGGCCCCAAAGGTCATATATAGCCATTACAAAGCAGGCCATGAAGATGGGCCTCATACCTTTTTTTTCCCTGGCACATACTGCTAACAAAAATA